CCATTTCAGACAAGTGATTGTCTAGTCTCTTCTTAAAAATCTCCAGTGATGGAGTGCCCATAATTTCTGGGGGCAAGCTGTTGTACTGGTTAATTGTTCTCACTGTTAGGAAGTTTCTCCTTAATTCCAGGTTGCTTCTCTCTTTGGTCAGTTTACAACCATTGTTTCTTGTCCTGCCCTCTGGTGCTTTGGAGAATAATTTGACACCCTCTTCTTTGTGACAGTCCCTCAAATACTGGAATACTTCTATCATGTCACCCCTGTTTCTTCTTTTCTTTAGATCAGCCAAACCCAAGTCCTGCAGCCGTTCTTCATATGTTTTAGTCTCCAGGCCTTTGACCATTTTAGTTGCTCTTCTCTGAACTTTTTCCAAAGTCTCAACATCTTTTCTGTAGTATGGTGACCAAAATTGGTTGCAGTATTCCAGGTGAGGTCTTATAAAGCGGTACTAATACTTAGTGTGATCTCGATTCTATACCTCTGTTTATACAAACCAGGATTGGTTGCTGCTGCACACTGCTGGCTCATAGTCAAGAAAATGCTAATAGGAGAAGGTAGTAGAAAAGATAGAAGGATAATAGTAATACAGCCATACTACATGGCTAAATATCCTTAGATATAAGACAGTTCTATGGTAATGAAGTATTCAGCAGAGTAATGGCACGAGGGGGAAAAACTGTCTTTGTGTTTAGTTGTTTTGGCATGCAATGCCCTACAATAGCATCCTGAGGGAAGGAGTTGAAATAGTGTATGTCCAGAATATGAAGGGTCCATAGATATTTTCTCAGCCCTCTTTCGGACCCATTCATATGTAATTTAAAAATGATCAACTCCATTTTCCCTCTCAAATGCAGCAACCATGATCTTCAATACATTACTTTTCAGAACCATATTTCACTTATTGCATCATTTTAAAAGAAAGTTCTTTCAAATCACTTGGATAAATTCCTGATGTTTTTTTGACAACATTTTTGGAAGTGATTTACATGATCCCTTACATGATTTCTATTCCCTAAGAGAGCTATTTTGCATCTCTCTTAATTTTTGTTCTGTTATTTTCAGCCCTATCTCCAATCTATCAGGATCATTTTCCTATTTTCTATGGGATTAACCACACTGACTAATTTTGTGTCTTCTGAAAATCTGATAAGCATTTCCTCTATTTCTTCTCTGAATTTGCTAATAAAAGCATTAAAAAGTAATACAGGATGCAGGATTGAACTTTGTGACACTCCACTTGATAGCTCTCCCCAGTTTACAAGACATGGTTAATGAGCACTTAAGGGCAGTGCCCGTGAAACACTTCTCTTCAAATTATTAGAGCAGCCATGGATGCAGAGACAGTGGGGAGCTGGACTGAAGCAGTTGCACAAGCCTGGAGGAAAAAAAGCTACAATTTTAATGATGTGAAGAAAAATCTCTGTGTGCACTTGCATGTGTTATGAAGCATTTCGCTTGGCATTTTCCTTGAAGGATTTACAAAGCCTAACTACTTTTCCCTTGCTGCTTTGATTGTATTTTATTTCTATGAAAACCTATTGTTAGATATGGTCTTGTTATAACTTCATTAGAAATGGAACACAAAACCATTATGAGTGCAACTGTTCAGACAATAGTTAATTCCAGATGCTTTCTACTTTTTAAAGCAAATCATTATGGTCAACAAAATAGCATAGTATTTTTTAAAAGTTTTACAATGTTTACTGTTTTTCCCACTTACAGAAACAAGGAAAAACTATGCTACCAGAGACTCTGTCCTTCACATTTTCACATTTTATCTGCTATTTTTCAGTAATTCATTTTTTTTATCTGTTTACTTTATGGAGGACAGTCCTCTAAAATGACCTGAAACATGGATACTTCTTTCTTTAACATGCAGCCATCAGCCTTCAATTGGAAGTCTCCCGCTCTGTTTAATATTAAGTGAAGAACAAAAGGGAATCTTTCTTCTTTACTTAAATTGAAGTAAATTAATAAAGATAATACTAGATTGCAGTTTACAATTAAACGATGGGAAAAAAAGAATAATTTGAGTCACAGGCCTTCAAGGAGATAAGTAGATAAAAATATTTTCCCAATATTAAGCAAACCGTTCAGACAAAAAAAGTAAAAAAATAAAAGCAAATTGAAAAGAATAAACAAATAAACATAAATTTGGTACCACACAATACAACATTGCTCTGTAACTCCTAAAAATAAACACATAAGTAAACCAGCATTTCTATGGTCAGTTCTCATACATGTGGACATTTTCTTTTTCTGGGCTGATAAAATTGCCACAATTAGAGTATGAAGATTTCAGCAATAAAATACAGGGGGGGGGGGGAAGCAGACAATGCTGTTAACTCAGAAAAATTAATATGAAAATGAAAATAATTTCTTAAGATATCTTAGATGATATTCTAGTTAAATTTAAAGTAAATTGTGTATGCCTTAAATCTATGTGTTCATGACCTAAAGCCTGACAATTAATTAAGTTATATGGATCTGAAACAGAAACATTTTAATTGTAATCCATAGAAATGTAATAGGAAGAATTATAAAGCAATGTAGTTTATAATTGATACATTAACTACAAACAATTTGAAAACTAGTGTGATCACAAATGAATGGATAAATGAGTGAGCCTTGTTTGGGAAAGTGCCACAAGATATCCCTTGTGTAAAAATAAAGAATTTGTGGGAAGAAATTTTGAGAAACAGAAGAGATAACTTTTGACATTTTTTAAGTATTTAACGATTTTGCCCTTTATATTACTATTCATTATATTAGTCAGAGGTTTTGAGACTAGATAGTCTAAAGATAATACTGGATTGCATTTTACAATTATATGATGGGAAAAAACGGTAAATCTATACCATTGCCAGTTTTATTTGGCTTGCATTTTAGTTTAAAATGTATTTTTGCATTAAAGTCATCTGTAGTTCACAAATCTATACTAAATCTAAGTTAGTTCTACATATTTACAGGTTACTGGTTTATGTATTATTAAATTCTTTCATGTGAATCCTATTATGGCACATTAATTTTTATAGTTCAAACATTCTTTTTTTTTTTTTTACAAAGATTGATTTTGAGGGAGCTGTGAATCATATTTTATTAGACAGAGACATACTCAATTCCCATGTTCATTATTTTTTTTACTGTACTAGCATAAATAAAGGTAAATGATAGCTCATAAATGTACTGACTGCATTTTAACATTTTATCATTAGGTGACTCATAACCTGTATTGAACACTATTATTTTGCTGTTGTTTTAATTATGGAATAATAATACTGGATATTGAAAAAAAGTAATTCGTTGCTCATTCAATAAGACATCAACAACAGCCTTTGGATGTTTCCAGGCAGATATCTACTATCTATCAACTATAGCTATCAACTGCTATCAACCATAATGTTTGTGCAGTTCTTTCAGATTTTGCTCCTTAAAGAATATGTTCTCAGAAAAAAAATACAGAAGATATGAAAAAGAAATAATGGTCATAAATAGAAAACTAATTGTCTGGAAAGTCTCATATAGTAGCAGCCTCACTTTCGTTTTTGCTGTACCTGTCCAAGTGAAACCAAAGGCTTCACTTTAGTTCAAAGTGGTCATTTGTTCAAAGAGATAATAGGCATTAAACTATGCCATAATTTGTTTGCTGAACACAAACATTTTAGAATCTGAAGACATAATCTTTGTTTGCAGCATTTAAAATTCAGCTCAAATAATTTACTTCTCTGCTTACTGTGCTTTTACGCATTTTCAAATACAGAAGTTTTAAAGATCCTGTTGTGATTATCATAAAGCTGCCTATTAAATTTCTTTATTTATAAACATATTTTCAAATGCAATTTGTATCCAATAATTATTCCCAATTTAAATCATAAACAACTGTGAAAGAAGACAATGGTTGTGAGTCTCAGAAAATTGCACAGCCATAAAGTACATTGGAAAAACTAACTGAAGTCAGAAACTTCTCTTGTAGGAAAAAGCATCCCTCACATGTCACAAACACAAATTATTAAAATGATTCATTTCAACTAAATGTTCTTCCTTAGTACCATGATACTTAGAGTTTAAGCTCTCCCATAAAATGTTTTCTTCACTTGAGTAAACAAAAGTGTTCAAATCCTAAAGCAATCAAAACAATTATCTGAATAGTTATTTTACAAATGGTGATGAGATAGGATATTTTTTCAATCACTAATTATGAATAACTTAACAATCATCATTCTAAAAAGGAGAAGAGAACAATGATCTCCATTCCCCGAGTACAGTAGGTTCCCAAACCATTCCAGTGATTTTCCAGGAACTTAGGGTTCCTGTACTGGCCAACCAATGAAGGTTGCAATAAACCCATTTTGTTGGAAAAAATCCTTGACATATAAGAACAGATGCTTAATCAACTGAAATCTGCCTTTATAGGTGTACGAACAATGCAATACTGAAATAGCAATAGGTCTGGGCCTTTGCCACTCCAGTATCTTCACTGCTTTCATGCTTCCAAAGGCCTGACAGTATTAATGAAATAAGTAATGACTTCTTTCTTCAAAATAGAATCCAGCAGGTTCGTTGTGGCCTTAAGAGAAAGAAAAGGCTATTGCTGTCATCAAGTAAAGGATGACTAAGGATGTAGCTGAATGCCCAGAGAAAAAGATGCAGTTGAGTGAAAGAAAGATGGTAGACGAAAGATGGTAACAACAAGCACTCTTGTATGAGGTGCTTAACTGCAACCAACACATGAAATGTGACAATTGCTTTTCTTAATGAAAAGTTTGAGTGTAAGGCAAGTGCCTCCTCTCCTCTCTTCAGATAGAAGGAACAGTTTCATAATAAATTGTCCCAAAACCACCCAAAAGCAAATAAAGGAACAAAACAGCAGAAGAAAAAGAACAATGAACTTCAAATAAAAAATTATATTTTAAATATAATTTATAGTTTAGAGATAGCAAAATACATAAGGCAAGCTAGAAGAACCACAAAGAAACCAAAATAGGGCTAAATGCATGTACCTGCAAAGTACAGTTCATCATTCGTATTATGTAATCAAATTGTTGATGATCCAGAATTGCACGATTTTGTTGAACATGGAGGCTTAGTTCCTGTGTCAAACATTGTCGAGCTGCTTTTCCTTTGAGGGCTCTCAGTGCAGCAGGCAAGGTCTAAAGACAAGAATGCTAACAAAAGTAAGACACTAAAAGAATCCTAACCTTAAATTATGCTTTTCTGCTAATATTCTATAGTATTACTACTAAATAAGGCCCATCAACAATCTTGCTATGAATTGTCCATATTAAATTAGTGACTGAATTCTGATTTTTGTATCTGGATAGTTTATTTCATAATTAAACATTATTTTAAATAATAAAGCAGACAGTGTAGAATTAATCAAGCAATTATCAAGCAAGGTCTTAGCTATGTCCTAAGCACAAAGAATATACTGGATTCACAATCTAAATTTTAAGAAAAGATTGAAAACCCTAAGTTTTTTCCATATATTTGAGGATTGTTATGAAAGGTCAAATATGTTGTACAATTAGCAATAACATCAGCAAAATGAAAAAAAAACTAAAAAAAGTTGCCTTTTAAAAAAGCAATCTAAGAGGCAAATTAGTTTGGTCCTCATCTGCTCTTCAAGCAGAAAAGGAACATTCAAGTTTGGACAAGGAGCTTGCATTTATTTAAGAGAAAAATACAAAACAGGGAAGATAATCTCTCATTATTAAATAATTAATAACTAAATAAAACTGTTCAGTAGAAGGGGTAGAAAAAGAAATGAAGGTGAGACAGCAATGCCAAATAATTTTACTTATTTCTTCACAGACAGTATATTTCTTTTATCTCAAATACTTGCAGTACGAACTGAAAAGGGCAACAGATATATAAAAGTAGAGTTAAGTTTGAAAAGACTAGAACAGACATGTCAAACCTGCGACGTCACGTGACGTTGTGCAACGTATCGGGACGGTTTTGCCATTGCCGGCAATGGGGTGGGTGCGGCTTCCGCGTGATGCGTCCGACCCATGAGCCGGCAGTTTGACACCCCTGGACTAGAAAGAGCTCATCTCTTAACTTGTATGGAATGTCTTAACTACTTGGAATAGCCGCTCAAACAATTTAACAAATCCTATTACCTTTTCAGTCTCCAAAAGTTTATTTTCAAATATAAAAGAGATGCAGTTTCTAACAACTTCCAGTCTTTGTGCACTGTTGAAAACTGTGCTTGCCTTTTCTACTATGGAAACTAAAAAAATAAAATAAAAACATATGTGAGTCCATTTATTTTAAAATTACCATCACTAAAAGGTTATTATAATAGAAACATTCCTAAGATGATTTCTACATACCAAGGTTTTATTTTGTACACGTGTTCTGCACACAAGAACAGATTCAAAGATGTTTCCAGTACTAATTCTTAATATATAATCATATATGGACTTACATATTATTATATTAGCAGGATTTCAGACAATCTAAAACATATGCATTTGGCATTTCACTCTAAAATTTCACTACAAATTCCATATCAATTTTGGTAGTATAAAAATTTGCGCTGGTGCATTACTTTCCAGAACAAGAGAAGAGGACTATAATACTAGTAGTCCTTGACTTACAACCATTTATTTAGTGATTATTCAAAGTTACAATGGCATTAAAAAAACATAACAGGATCATTTTTTACACTTACGACTATTGCAGCATCCACATATAATCAAAATTTGAACGTTTGGCAAATTACTCATATTTATGGTGTTTGCAGTGTCCCGGGGCCATGTGATCACTTTTTGCGACCTTCTGACAAGCAAAGTCAGATTCACTTAGCAACTGTGTTACTAACTTAACAACTACAGTGATTCACTTAACAACTGTGGCAAGAAAGGTTGTAAAATGAGTCAAAACAAATGTCTCACTTAACAACAGAAATTATGGGTTCAATTGTGGTCATAAGTCAAGGACTATGTGTGCAGGATATCTCTAATTTCAAAAAAACAATATTAAAAGGGATAAGGACAAATTAATGTATGCAAAATATCATCAGCACTAATAAAAAAAGAGTTTCTATGTGGGAACGTCATATTAGAGTTGCCTGCTTCTTAATATTTGAAGGCTCTACATAGGGCATTTCACATCTTGGAATGATACTTCTCTCTTGGCAAAAATTCAGGAAGTTCATCACAATTGTTATTTTGTGTCTCATCCCAATATGTAAGGAAGAGCTCAAATACATTATGTATTATGTATCAACACATGAAATCCGAACCTTAGGGTTTGGTGTGTTAATATATATCAAACAGTTTTCAAGGTCCTATTTAAATGGGAAACTGAAATAGAAATACTTTGTAGCATTTTATAAAAATCAAATACACAGTTAGTAGTGACTCTATACATCTATATTTATATCTGAAGAACCAATTCACCCAGTCTCACCTTCTCATTCTGATGGGACTAGCCCACACCACTCATTCCAGCAAAAAGGGCCTACTTTGACTGTCATCAGCCAAAGAATTTTGATTGTCCAGGAGAACAAACAGTCTTTTTCTGTGGTTCCTGTCCTCTGGAATATTCTCTAGTTGGAGGTGGGGTCTGCCCCATACTCCCAGCCTTCTGGGAGAGCCTAAAAACTTGGCTCTGTTTCTTGGCCTGGAGCCGGAACAGGAGCCTGCTATGTTGGGAGTGGCTGACTGGGTAGAGATGATCCTATTATCTTGGTTTTTCTATTCAATTTTTCTAATTTTAATTGTTTTCTAATGTTTTCAACTTTTTATTACATTGTAAGCCATCCAGAGTCACTGTATCAGTGAGATGGGTGGCATAGAAATTTAATCAATACATACAGATATACATGAGGGAGGGGGGGGAATCTATGAAAAACATGATGTGCCAGAATCAAAAGACTACCACTGAAATTTAGAAGCAGGATTGATTAATTTTGGTGATGAGATTTCTCTGGGATCTTTTTTTGCATTGCTTTTTGTTCCAAATGAAGAATAGAAAAGTAAAAATCTAGTTTCTGGAAAAGTTTTAAACCTTTGCTTGCAGTTTTTGAAATTCTCTAGTAAGAATGGAGGGTTATAGAATACAAAGAGATGTCTGTGCAAAACCTACCAATTTGAAAAGTTCCTGTTTCTCCTCTAGACCACAGAGATCTGGTTATTCCAGATGGTCCAGTGCATTTCTAGAAATTACTCTTGTGAATTGAATGCTTCTGAAACAAGTAGGATTTGCACATATTTCAGGACAACTACGTCAAGAGGAGAAAATAAAGAGACAATCTGGTAGTCCTGCCAGACCCCTCAGCTTTCCAAAAATGGCGACTGGATGGTCATCTCAATATGACATAATATATACAAGAATACAAGAATTCTTTGAGGACCCTGAAGCAAGGACATGGAAGATGATTTGGCAAAGAAAAAAAGCCAGAATAAGACTGAAGAAGAATGGAGTGTGGACATATTTAAAATAGAATATACCTAAGTAGACAAGACCCGTATTTTGAATACGAGATATTGTTATGATGTGAAGATAAAGAAAAATGTTGGCTAATTAAAACCTAGATGTATAAATGTCAACAGTTAAATTGAAATATTGAGTTGTTTATAAAGGTTAGATAAACCTTTAACATATATATGTTAAGAGTGATGTAACGTAATTAACATGTTTTGATGTAGTGATAAGAATAAAAATTATAAGCTTAAATATGAGAAAGTGGACATAAGGAAGAAGAGAGAGGATATATTAAATGCTGAAATGGGAGAAATCTTGGTTATTGAATCTATAATATTTGGAAATTATAATGAAAATAAGAATATTATATTGTACTACTAATCTGTTGATATAGAAGTGAGATAGATAAGATATGTATCCGGAACACTAGATGTTGGGGGGAATTGTGACAAAGAGAATTGTAGTCATTTAAAAATTTGAAAATGATAAATATTAAACGTTTAACCTAAATATCAACACAAAATTAAAGCTGGGAAAGTTCATAAGGTTATTGATGGTCCAAAAGATGGAATGTTAAAATAAATAAGACACATAAAATTATTGATAAATGTAAGAAAGCTATTAAGTAGCTGATGGATAGAATAAGAAGTATACTAATTTAAACAAGAGACAGTATGTATTAAGGGAAAAAAAGAGAGGAAATATTGGCTGTAATAGTTGGAGATTTGTATTAATAATATTTGTATGTAATGGAATTATTGTAACTCAGACACCACGTTCCTTTTCAAAGATATAATTGTAACATTGGAAAATTAATAAAAAGTTAAAAAAAAGGATTTGCACATATTTGTAAACCATTCCCATCCAAGCCCCCCAATAATGTCTCAATGATTTCTCCTCATGGAGATTGGGATCATTGTCAGGATTTTTAAGGTTGAGAATGGGTGGCATTGATCCCAGAGGCCTATCATTGCTATTCTCAAACTCCATTAAAAACAAATAAACAACAAACACTGGCACCACCCTTTTGATGTTCTCAGAATGTTGCCATGGTCTTGTATGGCCTTTGAAAAGTCAGTGAGGTTAATTGTAGGTTTCAAAACAGCTCTCAATTTGACTTAACTGAATAAAACATAAGGATAACACTCATACCAACAGGTGGGCCAGCAGGAACAACACATTTCCTTTCAATGCGAGAAGCAGATGGTGCACTTTGGTTTTTAATCAAATTTTCCTGAATTAAATCCTGAACCTGATTTTCATTAATCCTGGGAAAAGGAAGTACATGAACTCGTAGATGAGATCCTTCTGTAGGTCGTGGAACTTTTTGGAATGTCATATGAGGATTTGGATTCTCCTGCAGACATTAAAGAAAGAATATTTGTATTCAGGGATGTAACATATTTATTTATTTAAACAATTTGCTTGCCAAAAGATGTATTAATAAAGTGCCATTAATGATTCTTTATTAATAATTAATGCATTAAAGGGCAATAGCACATTCATCTTGATGTTTGAAATAAAATCAAAAATTAATTACTTTGAATGGAATTCAAACAGTTTAATGATCAATATGATAGGTAGGTAACCACTTTCTCTCATCTTATATTTTAAATCTTCTCTGCAGACTTTCCAACAAAAAAAAATCTTTTACTAATGACCAAAATTAAATCATAAAATGGCATAGCGTAATTGCAGTACATCAATATTATACAGTGATAGGTAACAACAAAATAAAATGTCAATCTTATAATGGAAATAGTACTACTGCAGGGTGAAAAAAGGAAGATGGAGTGAAGATCTAAGTTACTTTCAGCAGATATGAAAAGTTTTTTTTAATTCAATTTAGAAGGCTGCCCAACTCCCAAATAACTCTGAATGTTTTACATACTGTAATTATAAGAGAAGAAAACAATTAATGAAGAAAATAATAACAATTCCTCTTTCTGACTTATGACTTGGCCTTAAAGTTCCATAACCCAAGGATATGTTGCATACCAAATACATTTTATACCAAATGTAATAATTAAAAAAAACCCATTGTTTACTTAAGAACTGTACTTACAACTTTGTAATTAAGTTATGTAACTGCAAGCAGCTTTGTGCATCTTCAACTTACAGCACAATTATTTAGAATGAAATATTAATGAATTATACCATAAACGTACATTGTACTTACATTTTTTAATAGGTGCTCCGCGAGTTCTCGGATATGTTTTAACACTTTTAATGAATTGCTCTCTTCAGATTTAATTCTCTCTACTTCAAATGCTACCAGCTTTAAAAATAAAGCATATTTTTGTTGATAAAAAGCAGCTTTTAGATAGTATTTTTACATATGGCACTAAAAATATTTACATACCATTTTTAATAACTCATTCCCATTTCTATTTTGAATGCATGTTGTATAATTGTTAATAATTCAAACAATAATAAACTTGACATTTTGGCTGTACCAAATTAAGTATTCAGAAATACATACTAATGTATTTCTTTTACTAATAGTAAAATAAATATTTTTAATATAATCGGACATGTATAATTTGGCAATGGGCCCCTCTTTTCACAACTTGATTAAATTTCCTAAGTTTGCTCTCCTAATGAATTCTCATACTTTATTGAAAGCGTGTAAAAAAACCTAAAAATAATAAAGTAATATTATCATTTTTAATTTTTAAAATGGTCAACAAAAGTTTTATTATGACAAATACTGCAAACTATTTGCATATATTTATCCTACTAGCGACAATTCCCCACGGGATATCTGTTCGTAGGCAACAAATATTTTGAAAACAAAAATTAATACATGCCCATAACTACTCTTTTAAGCTAATTTATTCAAATATATTTTACAAAAGTAATGAGACCAAAAACTAAAACAAAAAAAAACCCTTCAAACAAATTAAACATTTTCTCTCAAGTTTCACAATTAACTTTAAAAACATATATATCTTCTACCTCATCAAAGAGATCACAGGATCTATATGGAGGACCTCTCTCTGACACAAAACCTGCAAATGCCATTCCATTCAGAATTTTGGTAAGGAAATCATTCTCAATTAAGCCCCGTTGGCTTAAGAAAGCTGCCTGCAAATAAAAATAAATTGTGAAACATGAAGAAAAAAAGGATGGTTACTATAGAATGTAAAGTTCAAAAAAGAACAATGTGTCTAACGCTTTTAATAAAACCAAACCATGAACTACCATAACACTAAGGTTGCTGTAAAAATGGAAAACTTTCCATGAATACACGCAAATGTGCATTCCAAATATGTTTGGAATGCATTTAGAAATCTGCTTTCTCTCAGTAAACTTAAATTAGGCAAGGTAAGATGTAAAATGGCTACATACAGAATCTATTTAACAGCTGTGTGATCATTAAAAACATAAAAATGATATAAAAACTAGATTAGATAACTTTATTTACCTATTAATTCAAATCTGGACCTCTGTCTCTTGAGATACAAGCCAATGTGGTTAGCTCACCTAACACATGGCATCTCCACACACATATAACCCTTTACCTTTCTCTAGGGCATCAGAACATGGGATGAGACAAATGAAGAAGGAACAAAGGGTGGGGGAAGACTGCTGCTAAACAGCAAAGAAAATTTTCGGTTGGAAAAACAACTTGGTGGATGAGTTTTGCTTCATGTTCACAATCCAGTTGAGGTCAAAAAGTGTTTCCCCCCATGGTCAGATATTTCTTCGTTTTTGTTTATTCCTCTTTATGGAATGCATTTTGGCTCACTTGCTGGAGCCATCTGGTTCATTTTACAAAACTATTCATTGGATCATGAATTAACATCTAACATGAAGCATATTATTCATTCCTAATCTCTGCTAGGAGGCACAATATTTTTAACCATCTCAGCAGGTTGCTAACTATGGTTCTTTGTGCACTCATCTTTGCAATCAAACATATGTTTGCATTAGTACAAACCACCATTACAGAACATGCAAAAGCTGAAAATTTTGGTTGGACACTGGATCCTGCAAGAACCTACCTAGAATCCTAATCACATTGAAATAGCAGTTTGTGAAAAATAGGCCACAATACTGAGAAATGGAGAAAAAAAATGGTAATTACAGATAACTTGCTATTATTTTTTATAGTGCTCACATGCATAAGAGAATAGTAAGTTTAGCAGATGATCTATGGCAATATTAGACAGACAGCTACTCAACCAAATGACACTTATAAGCTTGAATACCTAACAGTGCATGATGAACATCATAAAGATCATTAAAAAAATCAATGGAGATGACAGGAGTGCCAATTGATAGTGCCCAGACTATAGTTATGAGTAAGAACTACTGTTTCTATACCAAACAAGAAAAATGGAATTTACATGAAATACAAAGAACTGATTGGCTCAGAAACAGGAAGTAATAACTATTTTTAAAGTTATTATTAAAAATTGCTGTAGATTTGGGTTTTGTAGTTAGCTGGAAGAAAACAGACTCTAAAATGGAGTTAAATTTGGAACCAGACACACAACATTTGTACAGCAGCCTCAAATTTCTGATTTAGGAGCTGAGAAAAATATAACAATTTATAGGAGAGCTATGTGCAGAAAAAAATTGCCAGATAATATAAAAATATCAATGGAAAAACAGAGTACAGAGTGGACAGAGCTTTAGATGCAACCTAAATTTCTTGTGCTTGATAGGAAAAATTCTACCATGTGAGAAATTTCTCTTATTTTTCAGTCAGTCAGAAGATCCTTTTGGAAGGAGAGATAGTAACAACTACCTGCCACCATATTAGGCAGCCTGGCAATTCAGATTGTCTCAGCCATTAAAGATGCATCTGGCTGGGTCCTAGAGGATCTTGGCAAACATACAACCAATGTGTAATGTTTGGAGGCAAGCTAGAAGACTAGATCTATGGAACATGGTTCTGATCTGTACCAATTGCAGAATGAAGTATTAGAGCAGGACTTGAAATTACTTTAGGAGTAAGTAACCAAACTCAATTAGATCAGCAGTTTTAGCTCAGGAATTTTAGCATCAGGTCATACTAAAGACTATTATTATTTGCAAGAAATGGTTAATTTGAATCTCAGATTCCTTCTTTCTTCTCCCTAATGACAACTTGCATATAATCTGATGGTGTAGTAGCTTCAACTATTCAGGCATGTATCCAAATACATAAAAAGACTCTGGACCTATTGTACTGGGTACATCCCTGTCCAACTTGGGAAAACAAGTAATAAATATTTACAAGCATTGTCACAAGGGTAAATCATTTTTGCAAATTGATGCAACATGCAATGCTATATAGAATATCCCAGTTACTATAAATCATAACATATAATCACAGCATTCTTATGGGTAGAGATAATGATGAAATTGTTAATTGCCCTGATCAGAAATCAGCACTCACAGGAAGTATTCAGACAGTTCTAGATTCTAAACCAGATCTACTGCTGAATTATACTATTTAATATACCTTTGGTTCTGCCTCATTAAAGGTATGAACACTGTGTCCCTGTTGCTCAAGGTACTGAAGAACAAGATTAAAATAAGTAAAACATAATGTTCCTGTATTACATACAGGGCAATGTATCTGCATTGTCCAGCACAGTATTTCATATCCCTAGTAAAAAGTGAATAGGCAATAGCAACCCACTTTTGAACTTTTGACAACAAAACTGCAGACTAGTCCAGGAAGTCATCAGGAGTCAACACCAACTCAAAGGCAAAAAAGGAAATATGAGAAAACAGCATTTTTTGTTAAATGGAAATTAAATGTAAGATTTAAATTTTGGAATTACTGTTTGCCCTGAGTTCCATTTCAGATCTTTATCATAGATAGATCAATTAGATATATTATTTTTGGTAGAAAGAAGAAATATTCTACAAGTTCTTTATTATCCATTTACTCATTAAAAAGAACTGTTAGTTGGACTTGCAGCTAACATATTCAGAAGTTCCACTTACAAAAATGAAAGAGATACAATTACATGTACAATTACATTATTGGCACATAATCTTAGCTTTTTAAACAGCATGGAGAAAAAGTAGTAAAAAGTTGTACATTTTACAAGTTTTTATGAAACTGGATTGTCTTAAAATTTCAGACTAGATCAAGGTGCTTATTGAGCTAATAGTGTTTTGCTTATTTTAATCTTTTAAAAATACAACATTATTTATAAGCTACTAGGTTCAACATTATCGTTACCTTATGAAAGTTTATTACAGGTTCTGAATGAATTCTGATTAGCTGAAGACAGGATCTATATCCTTGGAAAAGTTGTGCAAATAATCTAAGAAAGACTCCACGCACCTCTTTATCCTAAGAAAGACACAAAACTGTTATAATATGAAAATAAGGTATTCCTTCCCAACTAATTCATCAATAGCCTGAGACCCCAATGGTCTGACAACATCTTTCTTGACACCATCCAGGTTTCAAGCCCCACCAGAGATTACTCTATTTTGTTTTTTTCAAATTAAAAAATAGGAAGCTAAATGGGCTCCATAGAGACCAAGAAAACATTCTTCAACAATAAAAATGGCAAGTGCCTGCAGCCAGTATTTGCTTGGAAGTTGCATGTGTAGCAAACGAAACAAAGGTTAATGGTGATGGAACAGATTCTCTTGGAAGCTAGAAGAGTTATTGGAAGAAATTCCACCAGGACACCTTTGGTGAATTGATATTTTGTGACTGGATATGGCCTCTATTGCACCCATTTTTAAAATCTATAACATGTTCTCAACATTCCAAATGCATCCACTGGTCCCCAAATTTAATCAAAATCACAATATGATATTAAAATTAAAAATCCCATGTAAACAGCTTGCTTGTATTGAGTTGCAAGAACTTCAATTATGCAGGTATAAACCCCACCTTTAAGGACTCTGGCACCAGTACATTTGATATACCTCAGTTCAGTTTCATTTTTCACCAATACTTCATTTTCCTATAAACTGTGCATTGATACTAACCGTGGAAAGTAAATTTAATTCAGGGATCACAGATAGGATACTGCAGTAATGCTTCAAAATATAATGAAAAGATAGGACTGATACCGGTAGTCCTCAACTTTTGACCACAATTGAGTCCAAAATTGCGACTGCTAAGCGAGACAGTTGTTAAGTCAGTTTGCCCCATTTCTTGCCACAGTTGTTAAGTGACTCACTGCAGTTGTTAAGTTAGTAACACGGTTGTTAAGTGAACCTGGCTTCCCTACTGACTTTGCTTATCAGAAGGTTGCAAAAGGGGATCCCAGGACCCTGGAACACTGCAACTCTCATAAATATGACCCAGTTGCCAAGCATTTGAATTTTGATCACATGGCCACAATGATTGTTAAGTGTAAAAAATGGTCATGAGTCACTTTCTTCAATGCCATTGTAACTTCAAATGGTCACTAAATGAACTATTGTAAGTTAAGGACTATCTGTACTTTTTGGAGTCCTGTAGAGGAAACGCTGTCTTACTAGCCTCATGCTAAGTGTAGCTCAATTTCTTCTTTCTACAAGCATTTCATTGTAACAAAGGGTTACCAT